AGATATTGTAAAATATAATTATATAAAGTGTATTATTTTATAATTTAAATTATAAAATATTTTTATTATATATAAACCATTATAAAAACCTTATTTTAAGTTTACTCATAAGCTTTTATAAGTGAAGTTATTGTCATACTTTTTTTAACACCACTCAACCCCTTTTTTTACAAAGAGTAAAATGTTGGTCCCATTTTGTTTTTTCTTAAATAGAAACAACCTTTTTCTTTTCCCTTTTTTTTTCGATGGATTGAATGGAGACAACTTAGAATGGAAATAATACCTCAGCAGTGTTGAGTTTGAAAACCTGGCAAAGGTCAGGACTTTTGGGTGCACTTTATCGGCTGCTGTAACGCGGTTCCATAATTTACGCAATAATTGTTGAAGACATTTTTTTTTTATTTTTTTGATAGATTGTTGAAGACATTTTAATTATGCTAATAACGTGTTTGAAAATGGAAACGGGTTATGACCCACAGCTAATTGGGGTATGAAAGATTAATGTATCAAAATGTGTTTTGTAACATATATTGTATTAAACTAAATATTAATCATTAAATTAAGAAATGTTCTTAAAATTAAGGAAAGATCTCTTTATTCAATATAATATTTTATAATTTAATATAAATTAAATTATAAAATATCAAATTATAAAATACTAAACCCTTAGTGTATTACTAGTTTCTATGGTGAAAAAAAGTACAGTTTTTCTTTGGATGCCCATCTTTAGGGTTGGCTCCCTTTCTGTATATAAAATGTTGTCATTATTCCTCGCTTTTTCCCTTTTTTTTTTTTTTGAAAGGGCTTATATGATTTGTTTTTAATTGTCTCCCATATATCTCCATTCTTAGCACTTTTATTTGGTATACAACCAACTTCACCTCTGAAATTGCAGTCAATTAATTATCTTCGTAGAGATGTTTCAAGTTTACTCTAACTTTTTAATGTTTATAAACTTATATAAACCTAAATTTATATGATAATACTAAAAAAATATATCATATAATATTTCAATATTTGAATATAAAACTAAACCTTACAATAAATAAATCGTGTATTTTAGTTTATAAAACATTGAGAAAATTTAGTTGCAAAGGCAAGTATTACCTAGCATATCAAACCAAACACACAAATGGGTGAACGAAGGCCTCCCACTAGCTTATTTTTAAGAAAATTCAGGCATATTGTGGGTTGATTTGATTGACTTCATATATTCAAGTTAGATTTTGGAACAGCCCCCCTTCCTTCATATCATTAAGGGAGGGAGGTATATGCTTTTCTCTTCCCAAATTAGGCTGTCTCTATTATCAAATCAATTAATTTACATAACTTCATAAAGCAAATATTAATTAAAAAACAACAATACTCCAATTTAATAAACATAGACAAACCACATGCCTTGATTCCCAACACAGCCTGTTTAAGCCCTCTCATGTAAACATAGACCAAAAAAGGGGAAATTAAACATGCAACAGCATACTGATATAACATGCTTTAATTTGTTTCTATTTAATTTAATTAAATTCCCATAATCTCATGCTCATAAGTATCATTCAATCAATCATTAATGCAAAGATTTTTTTTTTTTCTTAATGGTCAAGAAAGATATATTGAGATTGTACATATCTCAAAATTAATCTTTTTATAATTCAATCTTTTTATAATTCAATCGAAGCCAAATATTATAACGATACAATAATTTTTATAACGATACAACAATTTTTATAGTCATAGTTATCCTTTCCTTAAATTGGGAGATATTAGATTTTGGGCGCACAATTCATTACAACACAAGTTACACCTCTAAATATAGTATTATGCAATAAAGGCAGCCATAAGCATTGATAGGTGGGAGCATGTGAGGGCCATAAGCAAGCTGAGAAGAAATGTCAGTGTGTAACATCTTCCTAGCTTCTTTAAAGGGTGCATGTGCACTGTATAGGTCAGTTAATTGTAAGGGTAAAGAAGATCGAGAAAGCAATCAACCAAACAACAATAATGCAGAGGTTGGGTCGTTTTTTTTGCTTCTTTTAGATAATCATCCCTGAGTTTTGCTCCATCACACTGAGCATATTCATCCTAAAGCAACAAGGCCCAACAAGGTCTAAGATCTCTCCCAGAATGTAAACAAATGGAACTAGTAACGTTTTTGATTCATTCCCTTCCAACCAAATGGGAATAATGATTTCTAGGATTGATTCTATGGTTCTTACTAAAAGTCCCTAGTGGTTCTAAGTTCAAATCCCGTATTTGCATGGGTACTCTACTCATACTTTTAGCTTTAAATTAATACTTGACTCTTTTTACTTGATGACGGTTCAAGAATATCCAAAATACTTTCCTTACTTGGGGATGAGGATTGTACAGGTTAAAACAGCAAATTAATTTGGGGGGTGAAGTAGTTAAAAATATCATATAATGCCAAAATGCAGAAGGAGAAATATATGGATCATAGAAAATGTTTTTTTTTTCAAAGGAGTGATTAAGAAGTGCATGAATCTAATTTCAAATATATTCTAAGCAAAATGTAGGCAGTGGGGACATTGAAAGTGATAAATATTCTGTTTCTGTTCTGCATATGCTAGAACATTTTCAAGTTGATCATTGCTAGGTGCTAAGGAAAATTGTTTCTGGGATTCTGTAATTGCGCATTTGCGAGTAAATTTTCTCTTAGTTGGCACCCAAAACCTCATTTTGAACGCTTTGTGGTACAAGAGAACATGATGGATTCTCTGTGTTTCAATAGAATGTCAAGGTCCCCCTTAAATCAGTACAGAGATGTTTCTTCTAAATTAGGCAAACTCATGGGACCCCATGAAAGTTCACTAATTATGGCTCAAGAAAAAAAAAATTGACCAACTAAAAGCTACATATCCACTCAACATCACCAAAGTACATTGAGGGTTCTTTCACTGGAAAGTTTCAGGCGAAGATGTTCACAATTCAAGATCAACTTTCCCATGCTCATAAATGGGAGACACTGGGACGGGGGTGGCATGAAGGTGATCATGTTGAGGTGAAATTAAGGAAAGAGACCAACCATGAAGGTTTGCTCGGTGAATTCAGCAGTTTAGCTTAGGGTTTTCCTGTCCAGCCTGTGTGGCCTAACCTGGTGACACAGACCCTTCCCTCTCAAAAATCATCATAGGATGGAAAAGATTTCATCATCATCTCCATCATCATTATGTAGATGTCTTCATTCTTACAAGTGTAATCTCTTAGGTCATGGCCAGCCCGGTCACGCCCACATGTCTAGCCTGCTGGCATCCAGGCATGTTAAAGCTAAACCCAATGAGCATGCAAGGTTTGGGCTGGGCTTGCATAAGTGAAATTGTGAGCCACAGTAGCAGGATTGGAATCTCTCTGGCATCCTTCTTCAGGATAGGCTCGTGTTGTTTTAGGCACCACCGCATGTAGTCAGGTAATGTTGTATTGAATTTGGTGACAACCCTGATGATTGATGCTTATACTAAAAATGCAACCTTCTGTTATTGATATGTGTAGAAAACACCCTCAAAAGAAATTTACACCATCACAAAATAGAAAAGCGAAAAAATGAAAACCATCTGAATCAAATACATAAATACAATTTTATCACCTAATAAATGGGGCCTTTAGTACTTAAACCATGAGTCATGACCACAAAAACAGGTAATGAGAAAGCAAATCAACGCATAGAGTCCATACATCATTTCTGATTTACCGCAAGATTATTTATAGGTTCCCATGCCAACACCAGCTTCTCCTCCATAAGGCTGGAAGCTATTCCCCTTGGCCTTGGAATAGTAAACATAGTAGAATTCAGAGACTATAGCAGTGAAGAAGACAAAAGCTGCCCCAGCCCCAAAAACCCCCTTCCTCAAGGTCTGGCAGGAAGGAGGATCTTCACCAGCAAAAATAGTCCTGTATCTTGTGTGGTATGCATTTCTCACTGATCCAGCGAATAAGCATATCTCCGCGATCAAGAAAAACAACCTGATTTTCACCACCGATGAAGAAAACTTAAACACAAATTTCACATGGTTGCAGCAATTGTTAATAATAGAACTAAATATTCAGTGGTGCATACCAGCAGATCATGAAGAGGATGATTGCACAAGCTCTTGAACCAGAGGGGCTTAAGGCCTTTCCACAACAGAAGCATCTGCTAGCTACCATTATAAGGACCTGACTAGCCATGAGGAAGAGAAATGCACCGACACCATAGCCTGTTGCTATATCAGAGTCATAGACACAGTAGCTGTAATTCTTTTCTGAATCCTCATCAACTTTGGCCTGTATAGAGAAATATTATTTCTTTTTGTCATTTGCAGCAACAGCAACATTCAACTACTCACGTTCTCCTTATTTTACAAGCACCGCACCAGCAACATTCAACTACTCACGTTTTTCTTATTTTGAGCTAAAACCGACTTTTGGAAAAAAAAAAAGTCTCATGAATTTGATAATGAATAGTGACCATGTTCTAGAATCACCTATAGATCTTTGTTGGTTATTGAGTGCATACTTGAGGAATGAGTTTGCCTTGTTATTTTATTAAAGTGAATACCAACTCAACTTTTGTCTAAATATATCTAGTACAGGTATTTACCTAACAAACATTGACTAAGAAGGAAATAAACATCATAAAATCCACACATATACAGCTGGATTTTGGTCCAAATTACTGAACAGATATGCTACCATGGTTAATTCAGAAGTCCATTTAGCAGATCTAGAATACCCCATATCATCTACAGGGAGATCTACTATTTCCAATCCAAATTCAGCCTAAAATTTCATTTGCAGTCATAGATCTGGCAATTTTTCTCACAAATACAACCAGCAACAGAATAAACATTTTGCAGCACATTTGATTTCTAAAAGGAAAGCAAAGAAATTTAACTTTGAACCTTAGTTCTAAACCTGACCCTTTTACCAAAACAAGAATGGACCTAAATGTAGACCCAATTTATCAATTATCAATGCACTGAAAACCCAGATTTGAAAAGGTAAGAACATTGCAATGGTTTCTTTATCACAGAAGTAAAAGAAAGAAAAGAAGAATTCATTAACTCACAGTGCTTCTCCTCTGTTCAGCTGCAACAGCTAGACCAAAAGCTATGAGATCGAGCACAAACACTGCAATCATAAGCAGTTTTGAAGCCATGGCAATGTAGCTTCAATACCCAACAAGATCCCTTTTCCCCTCTCTCTCTCTCTCTCTATCTCTCTCTCTATCCAGACTCTACTTTATCTCTCAACTCTCTGCCTCAGTAAATATAAACACCAAAAACCCTTGTTTGAAGTATTGAAGAAGTAAAGGAAAAGTATTAATTTAAAAGAAGGTTTATATCAGAAGAAAAGGGCATCCCACCGACGTTTGATAATCGGTTTTTCACCTGCACCAGACCAAGGTTTTATACAGACATGAGAACGCCTGGTAGGAAAGGGTAATAAGGGAAACCAGGGTACAACAGGTTAAAGCGCACGAAACAAGTTGGTTAGAGCGGGGTTCATTTTGGGAGGGGAGAATTTAGCTGAGAGGTGTTTGAGGCATTAAAAGGAGAAAGTAAGTGCAATGAGATCCATATCAAGATGGCACTTTATCGGCAAAGTTTTGATGGGATCTGACACCATAAGTATTAGTATCATACAAGATATTGAAAGGATGTGAAAACTGGCCGTTGGTAATAAGAGAAGGCATAACCCCAGGTCCACCTCTTAAATAGAGGATAAGAATAAATTCATTTTAAAAAAATAAATAAAGATAGATTATTATATAAATTATTGATTAAGATAAATTATTTATTTTCAACATGTAATGTTAGAATTTTATTTACCAATTAAACATTTTTAATGAATAATTGATATATAATGATATCACATTAAAAAAATAAGTGATTTATTTTAATTAATAATTTAAAAAATAATTTATTTTTATATTTTTTTAAGGAATAGACCTATCTCTACCCTTTATTTGAAAGGTGAATTTGGGGATATTAACATAAAGGGAATGACAAGAATTGAAAGCCTATCTATTGTTTAACTTTTTAAAATTTCTATTACAATAGAATGTAAAGTTCAATATTAAACATTTAATTTTTAATTTAAAATGTAAGTGATTACCAATCAAACTAAAATAAAAGTGAAATAACTTTATAGAAAGATTAAAAGTTTGTTGAGAAGGGTGTTCTTGGTATCTTGAGGGGATGTTATGAGAAGAATAGTGGGATTCTATTGAAGTAGAATGCACAAACCGTATGTAGTGTGAGGTACAAGCACTAGAAGCAGGGATTTCTTGTATAGAATGTGGTGTCGGTGCCGACAGCAGAGGGTGTGTTCCTCTGCCCATGAAAAAATGGATTCATTACCCGCGACAATTTTAACAACGGTTAAAGTATTAATTTGATTCTTCAATTTTTATATTTATATAAAAATTATTTATTAATTTTAAAAAATATTAAAATTATTTTTAAATTTTAATTTTTGGTACTAAAATTGTCATTAAACTTTGAAGATGACACCAATTTAGTCCTAAAATTTTGAAGACAAATACTAGTTTAGTC